CTAGAGCCTATCTGGATGAATAAATAGAGGGCCTGGAATTGAATTGGAGGAGTTAACTAATAGCTGCTGCATGAACCCATGTCTAAACCCCTTCCCTCCTCCGGTCCAGGAAGAAAAACAACACAGAAGAAATTTAACAATTGAAAAAAACAACAAAGTCGCTCCCATATCAAGGAAGAAAATTCTTCGGCTGGTTTGATTATTCTATTCTTCGTTAAATATTGCCTATTCCGTTTTCTCATGGGTTACACTTACATATGATGAAGTCAGAAGACTATATCAGCTAAAACATGTTATTAGGTTGGTGCAAAAATAATGACGTAATAATGTCGTTTTTTGATGTATTTTTTAATGTAAAAAAACGACATTATTACGTCATTATTTTTGCACCAATATGACAAAGAAGAGATTTGAGCAGCCAAGCTAAGTCGCAGATGTAAAAGTTAAAATCTCACAAGTTTATACAAACAATAGTAGATAGAGAGACTTTGGAAACGGAAAAACAGAATAGCCTACTTGAAACGGAAATCAATTTTGAAACAGACATTTTTTTTTCTAACAATCAGATTTGTCAACAGGCATTATATTTGTTACTATATTTGCCTTTCCTAAATCACTGTCCCCGACCGACATCAAGGGATAAAATCGCTAATGTTTTAGCATCCCCATACCTACTGTCTCCCTACAGTTTTTTTTTTTTTTTTTTATACAGTATTCAGGAACAAAGTTTTACGAAGTTGGCTTGATTTATTAGGTTGGTGCAAAAAATAATGACGTAATAATGTTGTTTTTTGACGTATTTTTTAACGTCAAAAAACGACATTATTATGTCATTATTTTTGCACCAACCTAATAATAATAAAATCGGTGGTGATAGTGGTGGTGGTGGTGGTAGGGGAGGCACAAAAATGTTTGTCTTTTAGTTTTATCCTTTATCACGTTTAACAATATTTAATAATTCACTAAAAACTAAATATTTAATAATTTCACTAAAGTGACCAAACGATAATGTAAGTTTTTGTCTCTAGATCAGTGGTCGCCAACCAGTGGTCTATGGACAAATGGTGGTCCGCGCAAAATTTATCATGGTCTGCAGAAAATTTGGACATTATTTCAATTTTTATGAAGCTTCAGTTTAAAAAATGACGAGTAACAAAAACGTATGGATGGTGTATATACTATAGGTTCAAGACCTAAATGTAATCTTGAAATAAATGCGTGTAGACAAGTACACAAATGTGACATCACCTAGCCATGTCCTCTAACAATGATTTGCAAACTTCAAATTTTCAATTTGTTTTATTTAAATAATTACTATAACTTTTTTACCTTTAATGGGTGCATTTCCTATTAATAAAATAAAATAATTATTATTATTAATACTACTATTATTCTTATTCTATTATTATTATTATTATTCTCATTATTTTTATTTTCTTTGATTTCTGGAGTTTACACATTTCTTTCCGGGTCACGCCCAGGGACCTAAGGTTAGAAATGGCGTCATGACACTTTCCACTGACAAAAAAAAAAAAAAAAAAAAAAAATTAGATTACATAGATAAAGCCATTCGTAAGGTGTGGGCTGTACTTGTCAGAACAATTTTTTGTATCTCCTTGAGGCATGGACTTCCAGGAATCCCTTCAATTAGTCTACTGCAATCTTTTCCAACCAGTCCTAGGGCTACAACTACAACAGGGATTGTTGATGTTCCCATATGCCACATTTTTAAGATTTCTATTTCAAGGTCCTTGTATTTTGACAACTTTTTGAATATCTTCAAAGATACATTGCAGTCAGCAGGGACTGCCATGTCAATAAGGAGGCACCGTTTTTGTTTGTGGTCTTTAATAACAATATCTGGCCGATTGGCCTTGATTGTTCTGTCAGTGTGTATTGTGTAGTCCCATAGAATTGTAACAGGTCTCCGTAACCGGGTCTGGGTGGTGTTCATCCCAGTTTCTCTCAGTTTTCTTCCCGTAGAAGTTGCAGATTTTCCAGTGCAGATATTGGCCTACTCTGTCATGTCAGGTTTTATATTCAGTGGGTGCCAACACCGTGCAACCTTCTCATTATTATTATTATTCTTATTATTATTATTCTCATTCTCATTATTCTCATTATTATTATTATTATTATTATTATTAAAATGTAGTTACCTTTTATTCTAAATTCATATTTGTGATCCACCAAATTTAAAATTATACATTTTGATTTAGTGGTTCATTAAATTCAAAAGGTTAGCAACCATTGCTCTGGATGACTTTGTGGTGCTACTTTACTGTAGGTTTTGCCACTTTTGCTTAATTCTTATTAGGATTGTAGCATTCTTTACAAGAGTTGTCCTAGAAACTCAAAGTTAGATTAAGAAGGGCTGATGTACGAAACCCTGGAGCAACTTATGGGTGGATTTCCAGCTAATAAAATTTTTCATTTTCCTTTTATTTTCTTGTTTTAATAACATTTATATAGTTACACTTTCTCACTAAGTATTATAACAAAGCAAAAAAAACAGAAATTTATATTGAAAACAGGGAGAAAAAAGTGAAATTTCCTAAAAACTGAAATGGAATTAAGGAAAATTTGAAACAGAAATTAGTCCCTCTACATGAACAAGTTAAAAAAAATTAAACAAATTTATACATTACAGTAGTAATCATTTTATATTCGAGTTTGTTCATATCTATTGCCTATAAATAAACACAACCTCACAATTTTTTTTTTAATAAAAAGGTACATTTTTGGTAAATAGTTAAACAAACTGATCTGCTTAAGAAATAGCGAAGAATTTTTTTTAACAATTTTTGTAAATTAACATTAAGTCAATTTTCCTCAAGTGATGGCATTTGTCAAAATCAAAAAAATATTTTTTTTTAGCATTTTAGTAGTGGGGGTCCTCTTCATAATATAAATAGTTTTAAATCAATCCCTGGCTTCATAAAAAGTTATGTGCATTGATGTTGTCCTGGCGTAAACCCAATCTAAAAATATTTTCTGACTTTAAATAACCTTCAAAGGGTTGATAAACCATAGAAAATGAATGAATCAATCAATTTTCTCAATTCATAATAGTATGCAGTTATGGAGGCATGGTGGAATAATGGATAGTGGCTCAGATTGAGGAATCGGAGAGCAGAGTTCGAATTCCAGTCAAATCTGTTACATTCACTTACATGCTAATACCCTTGGGAAAGGTATGAATCCTCTTCTTCTCCAAGCTATAGGTAAATAGCAGGAGAGACCGGATTCTATAGCTTTGGATGGCAACTGGTCTACTGCAGAAAGAAATGTCAACCTACTGTAGGAAAAATCTGCCTCGTTAGTCATGTATCGAAAGATACATGATCGCCTAACCGTGTATCATGCATGGCATGTAACTATGCAGTTATGAATGACATAAGCACAGTTTCAAAATTGACATTTGCAAATAAAAAGTAAGTACAGATAACTCTTTAAAAACCAATGATCAATTTGACTTCTATATGTCATGTCCTTTCAGGACATAGACATTCATGGCTCTTCACAATATTTTATATTATGTCATTCTTACAAGTGTTTCTTTCCCCACCCCCAATTCACAAATATATTCATACAATCTCATCAGGTAAGTGGCTTGCTACCTTCCCCTATCTCTCTCACCCTCAATATGCCTTGTGGGGGTTAAATTCTCTAAGTCCTTCTTCCTCATTATGTATCCAAGGAATTTCAGCTGTCTTTTCCTGATTCTGAATAGAAGTTTTTTTCTTGTTTTTCTGTTAATAATTAGACTACAGTGACTAGAACTTTCCATATCTCGATATGTTTTGCTCAGACTGTCCAATTTTCTCCCACATCTTCCTTTTATCCTTCATCATTAGTCCCAAATATCTATTCTCTCCCCCCCTCCCCATACATGACTGCTAAGATAATCTTTTGCCCTGTGACAATCTAAGTAAGACGATCTTTTGCCCTGTGACAACTATTTTAACTTTTAAATGAAAAAGATGTACAAGAAATATGAGAAAATATATGTACAAATAATTCACTGATCAGTCTAAGTTTGTAACAGAAAATCGAGTTGGCTCAATAAAAGACTCCAACTTAGTTGTATGTGGTGCTGTAAGCACCAGAAGTTGTGTCCCCTTCTACAATGGTATGTTGAGAGAAGACCTCCTACTTAGAGTAGAACTGGTGCTGACTATTTGCACATAAATGATACTGGGCAGGTATTAACCAATAATCAGTGTGGGTCTGGGAGAGCTATATAATACCAGTGTTTTTCTCAGATGAGAGAAGTGTTCTCAACATGCAGCCGTGCAAAAACCAGACAATATGAACACAGTCAGGGATTGTTTATGCTAGCAGAAAATGATTAGATTTGATACTGTATCTATATTATGAACAGGGCCAACCTCCTAAAATGTTAAAAGAGATTATATATATTGATGTAATGAATATGCCTGGATTCCCGCTCACAGTAATATAATTGGCTGGTGTGAGCCATAAATACAAACTGAGGACGACACCTATTGTCTATGCCTATTGCCTACCACTACAACGAGGACCAGTTCATTACGGTTACCTGCTAGATTGTCCTACTCGGTTACAGTAGTCAACAACCACTTTGCTACTTTCAACAAATATATATATATATATATCAAAGTATATATATATATATATATATATATATATATATCAAAGTATATATATATATATATATATATATATATATATATATATCAAAGTATAGTGTAGGATCGTTAATTAATCTGAAACTTTTAAAACCATTTATTTTCTTTTTCAACATCATCACTTGATAAGACACAGAGTGTGTTGAAACAAAATGGCTATCTTTGTAGTGATTTTATAACATACTTATGTTATAATTTTTTATAAAAATAATTATATATATATATATATATATATATATATATATATATATATATATAGAGAGAGAGAGAGAGAGAGAAATATAATAATAAAAGTAAAATAGCTGGAGAACCAATAAAAATTATACTCACCACGAATATTTTCAACAGCTTCTCGATTAACCCAAATGTGGCATCCCATATTATACAGATAGAGCTGCCAATCATAGCATATTTTCCATTCATTATGGACATGGGAGTTGCCTCCAAAAATCACCATATAGTTGCCCATCTGAACAGCTGAGTGGTGGGCTATCACATGGGGGTAAAATTTCTTCCAAACATAATTGTTGATGGGGTATGCAATTTTCGACCAAAACCTCTCCTCAAGATGGAAAGCGTGAAGATTGTTCGTGCGCCGGCTCGCAAAGGCACTTTCCATCCAGAACCCACCAAAGACCAGAAGTGATTTCGATTCACGGTGAAAGATGGTGGTGTGACCAGCTAATCGTCGCATGAAGGTACGTCCACTACGGACTTTCACCAACTCCCACTGACCAACATTGGTGTCTATCTTAAAGATATCCGATGAGAATAAACCATTCATCCGAAGACCTCCAAACAAATATAGCCAGTTATCCACACGGGTGAGCGTGTGGCTGGTCAAACAGTATGGGACCAAGGTACTCTTAACTGCCTTCTGAAACCACTTCTGAGAGGTAGTATTGTACATCCAAAGTTCATCAGAAAAGACCTTACTGGATGTGACACCACCATAAATGTAAAATGAATCCTCAAACTCAACACCAGCATGTCCATAGCGAGCCGACGGCCAGGATTTTTTCCGATCAGCAATTTCCCACTGGTTGGTATTAAAACTATAAAACACGAGATCGTCAAGAATTTTATTCAAGGTAAAACCCCCAAATATCCATAATGCATTTGAGGCTGTGATGAAGAGGCCTGTATGGCCCGTCCTTGGTGTAAAAATATCACTGGATTTGGACAGAGTATACCAGCGGCCCTCTCCTGTATCCCCAGGGTCACGTCGGCTGTCATCTAGTCGAAGGTCACAGTAGCTTCCTACATATCCTTCCTCACAAATACACCGTTCTTTCTGTTTGCATTTCCCATGGCCTTTACAGGAATCGGTACTACAAAGACGTTTTTCGCAGCCAATACCTGTGTACCAAAAGTTGCAGATGCATGTGTGATTTTTGCACACACCCTGGCCACTGCAATTGTACGGACAGTCTGTTATCACATAAGTAGCATTGAATCCATCCAGGACATGGTTGTTGTCACTATAGAGGTGTATCAGCATCTGAAAATAAAAAAAGAGCAGAAATACGTCAGACAGGGGAAGAAATATAATAGGTGATTTAAAGAAAGACAACTCAAGAGAAGCAGGTTTTGAGCAGTGTTCAAATAATGGCAGGTACCATTCGTGATCAGTGTTTTGGCAAGGAATTAGAGTGCTTTAGTGAATGGCTTTCTTTGTGTATTTATGTAAGTAGGTATTTCATAATAAATAAAAAAAAGGGTTTAACACAAGAATTAGCAGAAGAATACATCAAAAATTTTTTTAAAATTGCTACTTGTTACTTTACTTTGTTCTGGGTAAGACAAACTATATCTGCATCCTGGGTAAGACGATAAACTACATCCGGCAGCAAGACATCTGATCAGGAGGTTTTGAGGAGTGTGGAACTATCTCTTAATTGCTGGTGGTCACATTTGACCTGGGGTGGTAGCACCTGTTAGGGACCCAGCTATGGGAAAATAGTTATCCCCCAAACTGGGGTCAAAACACTATGAAAGTGTAAAAATAGGTTTTAATACCAGCAATACATTTTTGTAAAAAATTATTACCAGCAATAAATTTTGGAAAAAAAAAAAAAAAAAAAAAAAAAAATTTACCAGCAATACATTTTTGGAAAGAAAATATTACCAGCAATAAAAATCTTGTTGGCATAAAATAACCCATTGAGGTTGATATGCCATAAAACAAACCAAACCAAACCAAAGCTACTTGACTAATTCAAGCAACCTGTTGGAAGGGCTCTGCAATCTTTACAATGACTGACAAATCCAAGCAACCTGTTGGAATGTTTCATAACATATAAACCTCTTGGTGTGGTTTTTCTTGCATTGCTCTATGGGATGAGGTGATTGGCCCCATACCCAACCTCTGTACAGAAGAAGGGTTGCTTTTCTGACTGAGTTTTCCTTCCTTTAGCTGACCATGTGTTCCCATGCTAACAAGTTCCATCTACCATGGTTTGGGAATTCAGAACTGTCCTTCTAGGACTGGTTACTAATCAAACCTGAAGAGCCTGGTTTGCCTCACTCTTTAACCCATGGATGGGTAGAGCCCTTGCCAAAAGTTATTTGCACAAAGGTGAATGTAATGAACATGACTAGAATTTCAACTCAGCTCTCTGATCTCTCTCTGGGTCACTATCCATTACACCACCCACACATCCACTATCAAAAAAAAAGAAAATGATCACAAAACAAATAAATAAAATATTTACAAATAAGACAGACACTTTATTTAAACAGTGGTATCAGAAAGTTCCCAGACAATATGTGCAATGACTGTACTGATTAACAGAAAAGTACATACAGCTAATAACTCAGTCTAACAATAATTCTTGTGTTATGTACACATGCTTGATTATTACACTTGGTTTTGTAACATGGAATTGGAATGGCTCTGCAATCTTTACATGGACTGGCAAATTCAAGCAACCCATTGGAATGGCTCTGCATTCTTTACATGGACTGGCAAATTTAAACAACCTGTTGGAATGGCTCTGCAATCTATGGCTGGCAAATTCAAGCAAACTGTTAGAAGAGTTCTGTGATCTTTACAAAGACTGGCAAATTCAAGCAACATGCCTGCATTCAATTTTGAAAATTGGAATTACACTATTTGAAGGTCCCTCAACTGAATCCAATATAAAGATTCTGAATGTTGTATTGATAAATTTTAAACAGTTTAAATACCTCATCTGATCCAGACATCGAGACAAATTTAATATAGGAGATATAGTACAAAATATGGTGGGCTAGTGGAAATTTTGGTGGGTGATATTGGATTTTGAGTATTAAAAAAGGAATTTTCAACAAATGCTACCTGAAAAAATATTCAAAGGAGATATGCAAAGAATTTGTATTAAAAAAAAAAAAAAAAAAAACAGGAGGCTAAATGTGAATCATCATCTTGCGGCCTCAGACGAGATTGAACTCAGCAATACTTTGATTGGGGTAGTTCATAATCTTGTCAATAGCTGAATTCTTGATGCTTCGCTAGGGCTATCAAGGGTGTTTTTATCGTGACACCAACACTAAATGGATTGCCAACCAAGGCTCAGAGAGACTCCATTCACCCTCCTCTAAGAGCAGGTTTGAATTCAGAGTTTTCCTTCTCCTAGACCAGTTGCCATCCAAGGCTATAGAACCCAGTCTGTCCTGCTATTTACCCATAGCTGGAGGGAGAAGAAAGAGGATTCACACCTTTCCCAAGGGTGTTAGCGTAAAGTGAATGTAATGGATTCGACTGGAATTCGAACTCAGCTCTCCGATTCCTCAATCCAAGCCGCTATCCATTACTCCACCGTGCCTCCTTATTCAAATGTGAATAACTGGGTCCCATTCCGAGATACAATATGAATATCCCCACAAAGTTTCTATAGTTTTGAGAAGGATCATTAACATTCAAATAGGCCTTCAGATGAAATAACTTTTTTCTTTTTATTTCTCTCTCTCTCTTTTTTCATATTTTCATTTTAGATTTTTCTTTCTTTTTTTTTTTTTCCCAGAAATGTCTGTTCCTTCAGTTAATTCAGGGTACCCCAACCTGGGGGAAATCACCCACTGGTCGGTGATTTCAACTGTTGGGTGGACAATGATCAATTGAAGAGAAAATGGTAGATGACTGAAAAATTTGATGGGTGATATAGGATTTTGAGCGTTAAATAGATATTTCAAGATGGGTTACTCCGACCCTCACCCTCAAAAATATTCAAATGAGATATGCAAAGAACCTGTATTAAAAAAAAAAAAATCAAGAGTCTAAATCGAAATAACTGTGTCATATTCCAAGATAAGATATTATACAACCCCACAAACAACTAATATTTGGTATTTTTTATAGTTTTGAGAAGAGTTCTTCAGATGAAATAACATTTTGGGGGGATATAAATCAGATAAGGGAAGACCAAGAACAACTTTGCCAGTAAAATTAAGAAGTGACCTCTGGATAATTTTTAATTAATATAAAATTGTTTTTGCTTTTTTTTTTTTTTTTTTTGAGTAAATCACATTGAACATTTCAAATTAACCAAGGGGCAGGAAAAGTACCTGTCAAAACATAATCTGAATATTTACTATACAGGTGGACAGAGAAAGAAAAATTTTTCTATGAGAAAATAGGTGATGATGCCAAAAAGGTTGGGAACCCCTATGCTAAATATACATATCCAGCACAAAAAGATGCTAAAATGTACTTAAGTAGCTCCATCAGATTTAGACATTCATGTGGATGTCATTCATGACATCTAACTTATAACTAACTATAATCTGTTTACAACTACTTTCTCTGGTAAATAATTAAAAATGGTTTCAAGTGAATGAATCCTTTTGGTTTTAATGGTGGCATTTCTGATAGATTGGCACTGCAAAATCACAACAAGAGATAAACCTCTACTCCTGTTCAAAATACTAGGGAGGAGTGTGAACAGGACAATAGGTGAACATATCAACTCCTTTTTCTTAAGATTTTATAAATTTCAACTGATAGTAATACTAACTGTTCATTCAATGAATGACCAATGTTTCCTGTATGGAAATGGTTAATCTCACCTTAACTTTGGCAAATCTACTACCAAACCTTCAAAATGCTTCAGACTTTTGGCAAGCTTCTTTTTTTTTTTTTTTTTTAGGTTGAACATACTTTTGAGCTGCACATGCATCTTGAGGAAAGATAACCCACCCTGGGGTGGCATGGGGCATTGTCACAGGATTAGTTCAATTGGGTTTTCAAACACCCTACTTAAAATTATATCTACCTATATCATTTAATCATTAATTTTCCTTGTTATATATTGGGTTAATTTGCAGTGTAACACCTGCGCTCAGTTCTCATCAAAAATTTCCAAAATACTTACAGTTATGTATAATTGTATACGTTTCATTTGAATCTGACTTGATAAATTTGATAAAATCTACTGTTTTGGAGTTATCGACAGTGAAAGTTCAGATTCATTTGCATCACGGGCAGCCATTACTGGCATTGTTTGCATACATTCGCTGCAGAATAGCTATCAGTATAGGCATCATTGCACAAACTGAGCGTGTCTCCGTAAATAGTTCTCGTGCACAGTAATTGAGACAAATTTAGACAAGAAAGATTAATTCCATGCTTAGCTTTCATAGTCTTCTACGTTTAGCTTTCCGCAGCAAATGTATACAAACACCACCAGTAATGACTGCCACTAACGATGCGAATGAATCCAAACTTTCACTGTTGATAACTCCAAAATGGTGGATTTTATCAAATTTATCAAGCCAGATTCAAATGGAGCATGTACAATTACACATAAAAGTAAGTATTCTGGAAATTTTTAATGCAAACTGAGCAAGGGTGTTACACTGCAAATTAACCATATATTGTTTTATAATTATAGGATTACAAAAAGAAAAAAATAAGTTTGTCTACTCAAACAGTTGTACCCAATAAATTAAAAAAAATTGATTTAAAATTATAAGAGCTAACAAAGATGTGCATTTCTTGAATAGGATAACTGAAATTTGTTTAACTGTAATGGCTTCTTGTGGCTTAATGGTAAAGAACACCTGGCTTGAAAGGTTTGATTTTTGTCAGTTGATTGGTTGATTTTATTTAGCAGTTTATCAACATCTATGGGTCATTTGATACCAAAATCTAGGTACTTTGTATGTAATATTATGCTTTCAGTTTCTGATATTTTGTACATAAATTTATACTTTCAATGTAAAGGTATGATTTTAGATATATAGTTTGTACATGATAAAACGCATTGTTGGTAATTTTACTATAAAAATATATTTTTTATATTTTTTTTTAGCATTGCATTTTCCTATAAAAATGTATTGTTGCTCATTTTATTATAAAAATGATCTATTGATTTTTGTTTAGGGATTTGTTATTTGCCCAAAGCTGGTACCCTAACAGGTGATACCACCTTTTTTTTTTTTTGCACCTATGCAAATTTGCCCTGTTACAAAAAGTGCTTGACAAGGCAAAAGAGCAGTGCAACTGTGGCAGCAAACAGGAGA